GGGATCGAACTGGGATTGCTGGTATCAGAAACCAGAGTGATAACCATTACACTACACAACCTGGGTTGTTGTGTGGATCACAGGTAACGACCTCATAAGCCAGGGGGTCCACTTCCCTACTGGGAAGTAGGCAAAATAGCCCTAAAAGGTTCGGAACGAGGATTATCAGTTCTATTTCAACCTCTGCAGATAGGATAGTTAGAGCTCTTTTGGGAAACTCATACTCAATGTGTAGTTTGGACCTCGTTAGCCTTTTACTATTCTCAAATCAGATACATAGTTGCCTTTGTAGAGTCTTTCTTATTGTGGATAATCTAAAGAGCATTCGGCGTCTTTAAATGTGGATATGAATATGAACAATAATTGCTCAAAAGCGACGTCCATTGAGAACCATTAAGTGATATTATTTAACTTGCAGCTGTAGAATATTTATGATTATTACGGAGCCATTGCGATTGAAGTTAATAAGTATCAATCCGAATTCCAGAATGTAGACGACTTTTCTATGTATAACTAGGGAAATATCTCAAAATTCTTTGTAATATGGCTTAGGAACTTGGATCGAGTAGTGTAACGGTCCATCATTGTAGGTTCTGAACATAAACCTTCTGGCAATCCATGATCTTCCTTTCGCGGTTCTTATATCTTTCATTCCCTGCAACAACATAGTGAGAAAATAGTCGCCCAACTGTAGATATCGTATATAGAACCAACTTTCAAATCGAGATCCAACAAATTCGGTTGTGTAGTGTAATGGTCATCACTCTGGTTTCTGATACCAGCAATCCCGGTTCGATCCCGGGCACGACCTTTTCTTTTTATTTTTGGATTTTTCATAGCCCACTTATTTATATCTCATTGGATTAATCTACTTGTGTGGAAATGTTCAAGCTAAGTTTTAGTGATTTAGTTCAAGACAAGTCCAAGGGCAATTACATCGTCTTAGCATCATATATACAGAAACGCATTAGTACAAAAGCCACGAAGAGGAAAAGCCGTATAAGATAATCCAGCATCAGACCTCCTTCATGCCGAGTACTCCACCTGCTCACTCTTCGCATCAGCCATTTCCATAACCTCCGCATCAGAATCCGCAAATGCCTTGTCACCGAATGCAACAGCAATCTCTTCGAGAGAACAGTGTGCTGTCTCGACATAGTAAAAGTGAACTAGGATGGCCGAACTGAGACAGAATCCTGCAATCACCAGGTAGAAATAACCATGGATGCCGGCGAAAGCGTCCGGAGAGACCATTCCAATGATAAAATTGAAGATCCAATTGCTAGTCGTGGCCAGGGCCATGCCTTTACTCCGGCCCCGGAGTGGGAAGATCTCCGCAGGCAGAAGCCACGGCATCGGACCCCAGGTGAATCCGTAGAGGATATTATAAAGCATGACGAAGGCATACTGGCCGTTCGCTTTGACTTGGACATCGACATTAATTTCGGTGAAGACGCAGACAATGGCTAGTAGTACGGCCATGCCGAGACCTGTTTGAATTGTTAGCTTTCACTAGTAAATCTGATTCTCGCCTTCATGGCGATATATATGTAGAAACTGACCTCCAAGAATGAGCAGAGGCTTTCGGCCCCATCGATCCGCTAACCACCAGGTAACAACTGTTGCAGCGGTGTAGGGAAGAGCATTTGCAGCAGTGTACAGCAGGGATTTGCGATTATCAAAGCCAGCGGAGGCGAGGGTGCTCGGAAGGTAGAAGGAGATGATGTTGATTCCGTTGATCTGCGCGAACATCTGCACTGTGATTCCAACAATGGTTCGTTTGCGATACCGGGTGAACATTTCCTATAAAGTGCGATCCGGTGTTAGTAATGCACGAGATTGACAAGCCACACAAGTAGTAAAGGGATCGTTACCTTCCAACCGGACTTTCCAAGATTGTGCTCATAGATAACCGCTTCTTGAATCTCGAGGAACGTCTTCTGAACTACCTCCGCCTCCTTATTACCATCAGAATGTAAATCTGCAATTGTTTGCAAGCTCTCGTCAATGAACCCATTCAACGCCAACCATCGAGGGGTCTCTGGTAGGAAGAATGACATGACAAACAAGACGAAAGAGAACACAATCTGGATGATGAAAGGCCCCTGCCATGAGATATGGTGTGGCAGCAAGAAGTTAAACCCATAGTCCACCCAGCAAGAAATCATATATCCAGCGATCAAACAACTGTACTCTATACCCACCATCAAACCTCGGCGATGAGAAGGAGCAATTTCTGTTTGGATGATAGGCACAGTCATAGAGAGGAATCCCACGCCCAGTCCTTGGACCGTGCGGCCTCCAACGAACGTGGCGAAGTCAGGGGCAAATATTTGAATAAACGAACTGAAGAAGTAGATGAAAGCGCCGACACGGACACACTTCTTTCGGCCAATCATGTCTCCAAGACGACCGGCTATGAGTGATCCTACCGCCGCTGCTGCTTGCAAACACGCAACAGATATGCCGGTGATCGCAGGATCGACCGCAGTGGTCGTCCCATCAGCACCTCCATAGTCTTTGAAGAAGCGAGTTATGAACACTTGGTTGACCAGCAGCCCAGACATGATACCTATCAAATCAGCAGCTATATCTTGACAACATATTCGAGGACGCCATACCAGAGTTATAACCGAAAAGGGCATCTCCCAAGCTGCCAAAGGCACATGTTGCATACAATAAGGATTTGCCTGTCAACGGGTACCGGGCCGTGATCTTCTTGGGTTTGAGTTTCCTCTCCAGCCAGCTCTGCTGCTGCTCGACTTCCGCGGCGACAGCGAGGGAACGCTCTCTCAGAGTCGCGACAGGTGCCGGCTCGGAGGATTTCGTGATGGCCATGCTGAAGATGAATCGACCAACGAGGACAGCGTATCAAAACCACTTGTGGATTTCATCAGGAGATAAGGGGGCAAGGGCTTTATTTATACCCCAGACCATATCCGCGTGGAAGAGGAATTTTCTCCAGAATGATGGGGAAATGGATCCTGGTACACTAGGTACACTATGGGGTCACCATTTCGCCGGGTTATCGAAGCCATATGTTTTTCATGGCCGGGATGAGACAATACGGGAATACGCGGCTGGCTGGGCATCTCTCGTGACCGGCCGTGAAAACTTGGCCCTATTATTGATCATTTAGACCTAGATTTAATCAAAATTCGAGTAGTCAAAATTCGAGTAGTCTTTGTTCAATAGTCTATCATATGACCGATCTCGCCGTGAATCTGTGGGGAATCTAAACGGGACTCTTGTGGAGCCCTCGTCTCGGTTCCGGTGGCGAATATCACACGGTTCCGGGGAGGCTTGGCATATCTTGAATGTTGTGCCGGCGGAAGACGACACGGTTCCTGAAATTGCGGGATTGGCATCGGGAATATGCGGGAGATAATGACCAGGATAGGTGTTAAAGGGCGATAATATATAGTGAACTAAGGCCTCAATAAATTTGGGTGAAATTGAGCCGTGGATGGCCACCATTTGAACCAATTTATGCTTTCTCGGTATCCCGTATACTAGTCCGGCTCGGGGCTTGAACACCGAGGATGGAGACCACCTGGAGCTGATCGACTATCCGCCGGAAAACTTTCAATGCATAGGATCCGTTCGCACATGTAACGTAGTGGGTAAAATCTGCAGGGCATCCATAATATTTAAAGCTTAGTAGAATCCCAGAAAGCCCTGCTCAATCAAACCAAAAAAATCCGCAAAAATGACCGTCACAGAAGCTGCCCAGGTAGTTCCAACCCAGTCGCGACCCAAACGCATCGGTTTATTGCACCTTCTGACTCCAAATTTCCATCTAGGCTACCAATGAAGCCTTTGTACTGCATCCCGGAGGCACATTTTCTTTCGAGGAACGCAGCGTACCCACAATCCAGTCAGACCGAGATGTCATAGTCCGAGTCATGGCAACAGGTCTCTGTGGTTCAGATGTGAGTAAACCGGCTTCGACATTTCCATTCCATTTCTCGACGCAACAAAACTAAGAAGAATCCTCGTCGCACAGGTCCACTACTGGCAACATGGCCGAATCGGGCCATACGTCGTTGAAGGCCCCATAATCCTAGGCCACGAGTCAACAGGAATCGTGGTAGAGACCGGAAGCGGTGCTCAAGGCTTCTCCGTTGGAGACCGAGTCGCTCTCGAGCCCGGCATAGCCTGCAACACCTGCAATCACTGTCGCAACGGCCGCTACAACCTCTGCCGGGGAATGCGCTTCGCCGCGACACCTCCTTACGACGGAACCCTCGCTACCTACTACCGCGTGCCTGCGGAATGCTGCTTCAAGCTCCCAGCCCACATCTCCATGCGCGACGGCACCCTGATCGAGCCGCTTAGCGTAGCCGTGCACAGCTGTCAATTGGCAGGCTTTATGCAGGATAAATCAGTGGTTATATTCGGAGCTGGACCTGTCGGGTTGCTCTGCTGCGCTGTTGCGCGGGCCTTCGGCGCGTCAACGGTCGTCGTTGTGGACGTTGTCCCGGCTCGCCTCGCTTCCGCGATGAAATATGGCGCTACGCACACATACCAAATGAGCATGGAGGCGGCGGACAAGAATGCCGCGGATTTGCTGGCAACTGCTGGCTTGCATGATGGTGTTGATGTTGCTCTGGATGCGACTGGCGCTGAGCCTTGTCTGAACTGTGGTATTATTGCCCTCACGCAGGGCGGAACGTTCGTTCAAGTCGGCTTGGGAAAACCCAACCCATCAGTTCCAGTTGGTCTGATCTGTGACAAAGAGATTGTTTTCAAGGGAAGCTTCCGGTACGGGCCTGGCGACTTTAAGTTGGCCGTTGGATTGCTCAACTCGCGCCGAGTCAATCTGGATGGTCTCGTCACTAATGAATACGCATTCGGCCAGGCTGAGGACGCTTTCAAAAATGTCGCCGGTCGGGGTGGAATTAAGAGTGTGATCTATGGCCCGAATGTCGACCAGGAAGAGGCGAAAGCAACGGCATAGTGCATGCCTTTGTGACTGTTATTTTTAGATAGACCGCCGATTACCCTCCGACTCCATTCCACGTCATATCCCATAACCAATACAACCCACCTTCAACGCTATCCTGAGTAGTGTTTTCAACGGGTTCCCGAGACAGACCAGGCATATTCCAATCGTATTCTGCTGGCAGCTGCCATACTTCATGTGCCTGTATGCCTGGCTCAACAAATTCGCGGGGTTGAAGGCTATCTCCACCAGTAGGAATTCCGGTGGAGCGATCTCCTGGACCCAAAGCTGGAAAATATATTTGTTAGCAAGTTCATCATTTTAGCTACCTCGGATGAATGATAAAGCTCACCATATTGGACAGATGTTAAGCTATTGTTCAGGCGATCAGCCCTGCTGAGGTCCGGCAGACGTTGGTCTCTAGCAAGGGGATTGCGAGAATCCCATGTCGCATCTAGCGGCATTCGAAGTGTGTCTTCAACCGAAATCAACGACGGATCTGCCAATGTCTGTAAAGGCTGGTGACCCATTACTTGGCTTGTCGCGGTGACGGGAGCAAGCATGGCAGCCGATTCACGACGTAGGAGCATGATAACAACATTCTTCAGCACAGCCGTGCTTTGTTTCGATAGTGCAGACCGTCTTCCCAGCAGATCTTGCAGACGAAGAATGCGAGTAATCGTTCGCTTCACTTCCTGCGCGGTATCGGAAAGAGGCTCCGAGAGAGCCATCACAGCCAACACAATCGCGGCATTGAATAAGTTGATGGCAAGAAATGCGCAGAGGTGGCTGTCAGTGGCGAGCTGTGCTAGAGCCGGCAATTCTGTCACCCTCGATGTTCTTGTTGCGGCATTCATCCATAGATCCGGAGTTGTGGTCTGGTTATTGGGAAATCCGGAGTCGGGAGATAAATTCGACTGGGCCACAGAGGGATCGGTGGCCGGATGATACATAATATTATCTGTTCTGCTTCCCTCCGGTATTTGCTCATTCACGGTATAGAGATGATCAACCTGCCGTGCTAACAGAGGTCGATGCAGTACAATGAGAACATTGTCGCAAGTCAGTTGTAGCGACAGAGACTGCAGGGCGTATGCCCTCAAGCTTGGCCTATCATCGGGGTCGAAGTCCCGATTAAGATCCAAAGCCAAATGGCTTGGTAGGCAGGATCGCCATTTTTGGAGGTTCTCGGTGACGTGCCTGACTAGTGCAAAATATGTGTCACCGTTTAGCTGTTTGGACGTCCTCAGAGTACGTGACCCGAAGACGGTCTTGAGGGCAGGCGACGCAATCAAGTAGAGCTGGTTTAGCTCCCGCTGGTAGGTTGAATAGCATATGGGGTTAGCCTGACCGAGGGCTGGAGAAACAAAATTCGGGTTCTCGAACACATCCGCTGGCATGTCAAGATTGCAATCCTTGTCGTTGATGCCCAATGGCCGGCCATAGGTGATTGACGCGAACCTGTCCCATGTGTAAATCGTCCACCATACTCTTTTTCGTTCCTCGATATTTTCGAAATCCCCCCGTAGAAGGCCCCGGTGCATTCCTAAAGACTGTGCCATCTTTATAGTCGCTCCTAATAAAGAAAAGGAGAGATTTGGACGGCCATGATAGACGTGATGCGATCCTAGGAGAATGCAGGTCTGGGCCGAGGTGACCGAAGGTTGATCCATTAACTCCACCAGATTTGACTCAACCAACCCCAACAAGTCTGCACTCAATTTCTTCATGTCATCGTTATTGTCGGCCGGATCAGTGCAATTCCTCTGAGATCGGTACCACGATGCCATTCCAAGCATCATAGCCAATAACACGAGAAAGGGTCTTTGGGAAGGATATGCAGAACCATCCGCGATGGAGTCTAGGCTCTTTCTGAATTTTGGCTCGTAGATGGCTAGAGAGAACCAGTGTACGGCATCAAAATAATGTTCCAACAGACTGTACACAAGCTCCATAGGAGGGAACGGCCGGCTCAAGATGGAAGATATTGGAATGCGTTGGCCTGTCGCCGAATTTGCCATCGAACCACCGGTGCTGGCCTGGTAGCCAGGTATGGCGGATGTGGTTTGTTCATCAATGTTATGGCTGCCAAGTTGACAAATTCTTCGAGCAATTCCTATGGCGGATTCAGCTTCGCCGCAGTTGAGAGACGGAGGCATATTCTCCCCTCCAGCGGGAAAGTCAGCATCATCGCCCCTAGGGTGTGCATCTATCAATCTATCTTGCTCGGGGATTCTTTCACCGCGACCACGATCATTCTCATCCGGTGACTTTTCGGTAGGAGTCAGTGGAGATAAATCAGATCGATGTCGCTCAGTTGGCGGGTTTCTTTTGGAACCCAGGCGCCTGACATCTGATGTAAGTAAAGGAGGGTTTAGAGGATCCCGGTGTACTTACTTTGGCAGAGTGGCCCTCCGTGGTCGAGTCGTTGGAAGTGGTCGGCAATCGACGTTGGCTCTGATACATACCGAGCAAGGTCGAACAGGATCACACTAGGTCCAGTTCGGATTCAGTATATGTCCTGATCAAGTGGGATCAGGGTGGCTCTACCCGAGATTTATGGCGCCGACATCTTTCACAGGCACTCCGGACTCTGGTCGGCAGTGGCGACCGGACATAACTGCTTCTATGCTCGACAGTGTCAACAGTGAAACCTCCAGTCATTATGAGGTTATACTGAAGGTGGCATGTAGGCAAAAAATAAGATTTCCAAACTAACCAAATTTGCGCGTGTAGGGTCACGCGCTTGAGTTTATCTCATCCGCGGATGTTCCACCCGAGGTCCAGGGTTGTGTTCCGTTCGGATATAGGTACAACAGTAGGCAACGTAAAAAGTCTGGATACTTTGTTATTAAGAAGTTATGCAAGCCATCCATACCTAACATTAAAAGATCGGAAAAGAGCCTCTGCAATTCTCAAAAAAATTAAAAAGAAGAGGTCGTGCCCGGGATCGAACCGGGATTGCTGGTATCAGAAACCAGAGTGATGACCATTACACTACACAACCTGAATTGTTGGAAGGGCAGGGCTCAAAGGTTTCATAAAGAAAGCCCTTGGACAAAAGACAAAGCTGGGGGTTTAATCCAAATTTAGAGGATTCCAGGAAGCCTCTAAAGTATTCCTAGCCGTATATCCTAGATAATTTTAGGGTCGGGATTTATTGTCGGTATTGAGGGCAAATGCAAAGCCATTTCTTTATTGCAGCTTCATAGTGTTTAATAAGGAATCTTTCCTCAACAAATTCGGTTGTGTAGTGTAATGGTCATCACTCTGGTTTCTGATACCAGCAATCCCGGTTCGATCCCGGGCACGACCTTTTCTTTTTTTTTTCTTTTCTTTTTTACATCTACAAATAGCTGTTGACGGGTGAGAGGGTGTTGATACAACTATGTAGCCCTTTGGCTGGTATTCTCTGTCATCTTGTCTATGATCTCTTAAACGCCACCGGTATTTCCCGAAGGAAGGTGGGACTGTTTGAGTGTGTGTTTTTGGCCAGTGCAAGTATGGAAAGGGCGTTTCCCGGGTTTCGCTTACGAATGAATAGAAGGAGATGAGAAAACGGAAACCCATTTTAAGGTGTTAGAAACTTATGTGAACTTCTCAGACTGTCACTACTATATGTTTTTTAAATGGTTTTTTTGGTATGCGTTTGGTTCTCTTGGATGTTTTCGAATATCCCTCTAGAATATATAGTTAATCAGCCGTCAACTAACTAGTTATGGGGTTGTAGAACAGACTTAACAATAAGTTTCTATAATTACATGGTAACATACTTGATGGCTTGGTACATTCATCGGTCTGGTTTCCCATATATAACCCATCTGATTTTTCTATAGTAAATAGACGGTTACATGTTTAAGTAATGTTTTCAACACGTCATCCACATATCGTGTAGAATAACTGGATAGGGGATGTATGTATTAGATCAGAATAGCGTTAACTGGGAATTTGTCTTTCCGATACACATATGAGATGTCTTTTAGTATCACCATAAAATAACTCAGTATTCTATTTGCGCGCTCTATCGTTAACTACGAAGGGCATGTAAGCGTCCTGCGATTCTTACACTATTGCCATAAGCTCCATCATGATAGTGCTTCTCAACTTCACTATTCTAACAGCCCGCATCTCACTGCGTCAAAAACTTATTAGGTACATAACGCGGCATCGAATCCTCCCACATGCTATCAGTGAGGACCGTTTTGTTCGAGCCATCAACATTCATAACCATAATCTGGCCGTAAGGCTGGAAAGTATCATCGTAAGTCGCAGCTTCAGCCTGGAATCCCCACATCCCAGTGGACCACATAATGCGGCCATCAGCAGTCCAGACAGCGTGGGCATCGTTAGCAAACGATGTAGTGAGCACAGTCAAATCTGTCCCATTAGGACGAATAATGCACACTTCATAATTTGAGAACTCGTTCCTCGACAGGTCGGTCATATTGCGCGTAAACAGAACCCACTCGCCGGACGGCGAGAAGAATGGCAGATTATCACGCTCTGTCGTCAGAGTGGTGGTCTCGTTAGAGTTTAGGTCCAGCAAACGCAGGCCGAACTCAGGCAGGTATTCGCGGTACACGATCTTCTTTCCGTCGGGCGAGAAGCTGGGGAATCCCTTATTGGAGGAGTTGCCGAAGGTGAGTTGCTCATAGCTCGATCCATCGGACTTGGCCCGGAAGATCCAGCCGGGCTCATCGGCGCGGCTTTGGAACCACCATCCTAGACCGAAGGTGATCCATTCACTATCAGACGACCAGGATGGCTGGAAGGACCCACCTTCACCACTGGCAACGGTGGCTTCGTCAAGCGCGCCGGTTTCGTAGGTATCAAACGCCAAGGTGAATTTGGTGTCGTCCGGGGGCATTACGGCTATAGAAGAATTGCCGGGGCTACCCGTTTGCTTGGAGGTGAAGGTCAATTGCCCATCAAGAGAGAGATCGGGGAAGACGTCCATGAAGTGGTAATCCCACTCCGGGTCCCAGGACCACAGCTCCTTTTGCAATGGCCGGATCTCCCAGCCAGTCTTCTCGTAGACCACATGTTTGCCGTCAGCAGACCAGGCAGGCGAGCGCATACCTCCGAGAATCTTCTTTGCGCTGGAAGTGTAGTGAATACCGCCGTCGTCTCCGCCTTTGAGCAAGTATCCGATGTCAGTGTTCGAGACATACTGCGGGAAAATCTTGACACCGGAGGTATTGGTATGTTGGACAAAATCGGTTCCTGTTTCGAAGTCCACAGAAACGATTTGGTTGGTTGTGGAGTTGACGGTGAACGACGAACGCGCATCCCAAGTTGTTTGCACCGTCATCTCGTAGAATACAACTCGCTTGCCATCGGGGGAGAATCTGGGCGACCCGTAAGTGTAATTCGCCTTGCTGTACACCTTGCGGAAGCCAGTTCCCTTGGGGGTGATGGCATAGATAGCCAGCTCTTGAGTATGCTCCCAGCCAGTGCCACTGTCGTGACCGGTCCACGCGGTGTTTCGATCAGAGGAAAAAACGATCCATTTTCCATCAGGCGACCAGGCAGGCGCAAAGAATCCGCTTGGCGACTCAGGCTTGCCCGTCACACCAGTCTGGTTGGTGAGGTTGCGGGTAACGCCGGTCTCGAGGTTCTTGAGCCAAATGTTGGAGGTGTAGACGCCGGCCGTGGAGGCGTAGGCAGCGTACTTGCCATTGGGAGATATAACTGCTGCATCTTCGACCGAGGGTGTGGTTGCGATTGGTGTCAGACCGCTGCCGTTCACGTTGACCATATAGATATCGGAGTTGCCATCGCCGTTACGTTCAGTGGTGAAGACGACGTGCTTACCGTCTGGATGGAAGGAGGCATGGTATTCGTAGTTGGAGGCATTGCCCAGCAAGGAGCGTTCGTTTGTGCCATCTGCATTGGCAATGTACAGTTTGGATGAGGAGGGATTGATACGGTTCATCAACATGATGCCTTTCTTTCCCGGCACAGCACGAGGGAGCACGGCATCAGAGCGAGGCTTGAGGCTTGCATCTGCTAGATGCGCGTAGGGGCAGGCGGCCTGGCACAGTGAAGGGCCCAATAGGGCCAGAAGGGAGAAAAAGAACATGATGTTCTGCAAAGGATCGATGCTTGGATTTCCGTGAGAATCTAGTATGTTGCCTAGCCGATCATTCTTTATCTTTACATAACCGCAATTTTTGTAGAGTATATATAGAAGGCCAATCAAAAGCCAATCCGGGTTCTTCGGTCTGAATGTCTGAATTGAAGATTTGTTGATTGGATATGGATGAACTGATGACGATCGTCATGTTAACGGAGGGCCACAATACGGAGTAACCAGGCACCATGTGTGTGATCGACACAAGGTATTGCCTTGACAAAGACCGAGATTGCAATTGTTTCAAGAAAAGCATTGAAGATCAACACCATGCAAGGAAGATAAGCCCGAGATACTGATGCTCGGAGATAGCCGATTGACCGACTTTACTTAGGGCTAGATATGTAGGTACGTACCGAGTACTCCGCCGGACATTGTAAAGGGGCTCAAAAAGGACGAGAATACATGAATGTTGAAGATAAGCACTTTATTCGATTGACTGCGGAGTATACATTCATAGAAACGAATTTACTGAACTCGGGAGTCGGGACCGAGGCATGAAGTGTTTATCATGCATCCTTATCATCACGTGCTGTCGTGTCAGGGACGCGTTGGGCAACTTTATTTTCAACGATCAAAGCCACCAGCTCTGGCAACTAGATCCCGATGAGTTTAGATCGTGTCATTCAGGATTCCGACGAGGACGAACTCTCGGAGGGGGATGACCTTTCCACCTCCGCCAACCCCCTCCACCCATCCGAGCCCGCATTGCAGCAGGAATATCAACATGCCCCCGCCAAAAATACGATCCACAATGCAGTGTATGAACATGTTCCTGCTCCTGATGAAAGCATAATCCCGGAGTTGAGCGTCAACTTTGATGAATTCCTCCAATCCCAAGAGAAGGGTCATTCAATGTTATCTTCGTCGCAGCAGCGGCGGGAGGACAAATGGATACCCTCAACTGAGGGTGGAAGTGGGTCGGTTGGTACGATGTGACAGCATAGTCTGAAGGACAAATAATAAGAAGTGATCTCTATACTGATACCGAAGATGATCTAGGCGCCATGATGACGGAGATCGGAATCGCGCAGAGAAGACTTATGGACGACGACCCTTCAAGTGCAAGCCTCCCTTTTACGGCCGCACCGTACTCGATAGAATCATTTCAGTCCGCGCCATTTCCTACCGTACCAAGTTACCACCCGTATCAGATATATCAACCGGAGAGTGGCAGCTTCACATATAATCCAGCACCCATTGGCGCCTATGTCGATGCAAATCAGACTTTGTTGCCCACCAGACAGGGTACCTATGACTTGACCCCGCCTGACACCACTAATCCAATGGCCTCGCCTCCGAAAGTCGTTCCTTACCAAGCTACCGAGCCTTTTATGGAAGAGGAGAACCCTCAGTCGAACCCACCCCAGGAAGCCTCACAGGCGAAGTCTCAGCAGACTGGTCCCTGTTCCCCCCATGACACTGAACCTCTCTCCTCAATCGCATCCATGCGATTCAGCGATGCAAAGATTACCACTGCTGGAACCAGTCTTATTTCCCCGCAGCAATCCCAATCAAGCACGCATGACGAGCTCGCTCTCCCTGCCGTCTTACCAAATATGCCAGATGTCGGGCCGCCCGGTGCAACGAAGAAGCGAGGACGGCCCAAGAAACAAACTGGGCTAAATAACGATGAAGACGATGAGCTAGCCAACTCTCGAGACTACGAGTTCAAACACCCTGGCGCAAATGGTGCGATTGACCCCTCCGATAGCGAAGAGACCACGGAAAATAATACCCCGGCCTCGAGTGGAGTCTCCGATGAGACTGACGAAGAAAACCCAGAAACAGCCCCTAAGCCTGCAAAATCAGGACCAAAGGAGCCGAGAAAGAAGAAAGCTAAAAAAAGCAAGACGACACCTGCCCCTGATGCCGATGACGACGTCATATGGGTGGACACGAAGCCTCTCAGCGTGGAGCCTTCAACAGAGAATGCCACTCCGCAGGCAGAAACCCCGGAGGCCCCGAGACAGGATATAGACTCCAATGTTTTGGACTCATACCCCCCTGTTGAACCCCAGGCACAAATTCCCACCGCAGAAGAGAAGACACAAAACGACCAAAAAGCCGAGAAACCAGCACCCAAAAAACGCGGACGCAAGCGAAAGCAGATAACCGAACAAGCAGAAACACCATCAGAGTTCGCAGATACACCCGTACCAAACAAGCCGCCCTCCGGAGCCCGGACTCCTGCGCTGAATGTGTCCGTCGTTGTCGATAATAGTCCTAAACCCATGCCGATAGCTAATACTGGTAACAACGATACACCTGCTATCCAAAGCAAGGACCAGAACCCCAGCCCACTTCCTGGTCCTGATGCTCTCCCTGAAACTACGATTGATACCCCTCAGCCTCAGACTCCTTCGAAGCGCGATGCTTCATCTGTCAATACACCCCAGAACGGAGGAAAGGGCCCGGATAAGCACAGTCCCATATCGGCGCGGAATGGGGTGCCTTACCGCGTGGGATTGAGTAAGAGGGCGAGGATTGCGCCGTTGCTTAAGATGGTGCGGAAATAGGGAGAGTCGTTTGCTTTCTTATTGATGGGCATCTTCATGCTGTGTTTAGGTGTTGGCTTTTTTTTTTTTTTCATTGGGTTGGTCTGTTGCTGCTATTATTTTACTATCATTATACCCCTCGAGAGAATGTTCAACATTCTCGGCCTGCTTTCTTTGTTGCTTCTTTTTGTTTTTGTTTCTGTTGGTATTGGTATCTGCATATCTCTCATAGTTGCATGTCTACATATATGTCTTCATTTACATGGAGTGGGTGAAAGGTAGGATAAGATCCTGGGTGTGAGCTGCGACAATTTGTCCTGAGATCTTCTCTAGTCTCAATATCGAAAACATTACATCTATTTGGAGGAGCAGAGTTGAACTTATATGAAAGCCTATAATTACTTGAGCAGAAGACGAACTTTATTGTATTGCAATTCCGATACCTTTGAATGATTCCTATTCCATGAGCTAGCTAACCCTGCCGTGTCTGCCGATAAGTTCAAACGAATGGATTGGCCACAATGAAGCCACAGCATGTAAGTATAACTATAATCTCGACAATGAAAAACTCGGCCAAACAATCGTGGTAATACTATGCAAAGACCAAGATGATTCATCACATCCACATCGCAACGATCAAAGCAAGGAACAACGATGTTGCAGCCGCGGTGCCAATGGTTCGGAAATCAGAATCAGCTTCCGACTTGTGACCCTTGGTCTGGACTTTCGGGTCCCAGGCATCGCCATTGTAAGGAGCCTCAACGGAACAATATCCGGCATCCTTTTGACAGCCGCTTCCACAATGACTGGTGGTGTTGCCGCAAGAGCTATTACTACCACAGCAAAAGCCATAGGTAGATCCAAGGCAAGTGTAGTTGGAACCACAGGAGCCATCCCAAGAGATCGGCTTGTTGGGATCTGCCGAAGCTGTCTTCTTGGGCTTCTTCTTCTGAGTGGGCATCCGGCTATCCTTGCGGTACCAGAGTGGCCTGGGATCACGGAGACAGTCCCCAACGGTAATGGCACGATAGCCTTGCCGCTTGATGCCCTTGAGCATGTGCTCTGTGAGGTTGTGGACGGTCTGTTCATGGGCGTCATGCGCAATGACAAGCCATGATTTGGTGCGTGGGTCGCTGTTCAAAAGCTGGTGATCAAAGATATCCTTAGACCGCTGAATCAGATCTGGACTGTCGTTTTTATAGTCATCCGTGTCAATGTCATACAAAATGATGTGGTACCCAAGCTCGCCCAGCTCATTTCCGCACTCTGTGTCAGGACTGCAGCTGGAATAAGGCGGCCGCATGTAAGTGGGGAAAGATCCGAGAATGTTGCGCAGCGCAGCTTCATTCTTTTCAATTTGCTCATTGCGTTGCGAAGGAGTGATCTTGCTGAGGTCCTCATGCGACCATGTATGACTGGCGATCTGGTGGCCACTCGAGTGCATGCGTTCGATCAATGAAGCCCATGGCAAGGTGAGGTCATCGATAGAGCCCTTTCCGTTGTTGATCCCAGTGATGAAGAATGTCGCCTTCGCATCGTATTTGTCAAGCAAATCGAGCAGATCGCCAGTGTAACGTGTCGGGCCATCGTCGAAGGTCAATGCAACAGTTCCGGGGATAGCGCATGAACGGATCTCGCGAGGGCCGTACGGAACTTGACCGACGTGAGGACGGGGGATTTCCTTGGTTGGGGGTCCAGAAGGCGATCGGTGAGCGTCACATTTACCGTAGTCAAGCTTGCAGTCTGGAGAGCGACAGTGCGCCTTCGACGTGCCGCAGAAACCTATCGTAGAATGACATCAGTAAGGTGCTCAAGCTAACAGGATTTTGAGAACATACCTGCACCGGAGCAGCATGTACCGACCGGACATTTGCCGATCTTGGGGCCACAGCGATAGTCCAAATTATTGGGGGCATCACGGGTGTCCAAATGAGACTCGGTTTCTGGTTGAGGTTGTTCAATTGCAACCGTATGCACAGGACCGACATGCAATTTAGCAAATACACACGTTGCCAAAGTGGCGACCCAGATGGGTTGAATACGCATCTTGAGAATGGTATATAGGGTTAATCTATGTTCAACTGGGTATGTGAGATGTAATGGGTTGGGATGATAGCAACAGGTGATTCGAGTGAGAGGAGAAGAGAGAAGAGACCAGCAGGACGGGGGAAAAGCAATGGAGCTAATTTCTACAAGAGGAAGGAGGACAGAGAAGGAAAGAGCGAAGCTTCGAGGCATTTTTCTACTTAAATCACAAAAGGCAGGAGCAAGTATCGTGGCAAGAGCTCCTAACCTTGACATAGAGGTGTAGAAGTAGAGATTGACGGCGCTTGTATTCAATATGAACGTGGGTATCGTGAAATCCATAGCCGTCTGGGGCATTGGAAGGTTGATCTGGGAGCCCAGTACATTTTCCGGATTTAGCAAACCAAAGCCTAGTGGGTGCGATCAATATGGTCATGATGTGACTACATATAGCCAATTAAGATCAGATGCAGCACATCGGGCTCGTGCAGCAGCCCTTAGCATCATGCGTAAGGGTCTAGGCTTCAGTGTCGGTCAGACATCTATCATAGGGCAATAGTTATGACAACTCAATTTGCCCGGGTAATGTTATCCTCCCCGACTGCCGAGAAGACAAAAGGAACAAGGGTATCCAGGTGTGGGCCAAACTTCCCAGGTGCGGTTTTTGCAATGGCGCCAATTGCAGCGATCAAGTGCCGACGCTGCACCACAGAAATCTCGGAAGACAATGTTTTCGTCAGATCGGACACAAATTCGTTGAGCTGGTTGTCGGAGAAGTAGAGCACAAGCGCCGAGATGGCTGTCAGGGCGCGTTTAGTGACAACAGTTCCAGCCGTGTCGTTTTGGATGATGGCCATGACGGATGCCTGGAGGGAAGCAAGCTCCGAATCTTGGAGCAGAGGCCCAAAGCAGGTCACGACCTTGATGAGCACATCGATGGCATCACTACTGAAACCCCGTGATGGATCCTTCTCCATCATGCCTCTCACCACTGAGCTCCGCCGTCCTGTGATTGAGAGAGTCGGTCCAGTCAAACGGGGAACCAAGACCTCCGAGACTGCTGTGTATGCAATAATCGAATTTTGAGATGGAGGCTGGCCCGACTGGGGACGAGGGAGGGTATCGACGATGACGCGAAGAGCAGTGTTGGGGACCGATGTGTCTATCGTCTGGGAGGCAGTCAAATTGGCCAACTGCTCGAGAAGAGGTGTAAGGGATTCGAGTGGTAAGCGAACTGCGAGAGGACCGAGACTGGTTTCAAGTTAGATATCAGCAGGATCGGAGGGCAATAGAGCTCAAATACCATTTGAGGGCCTGGTTCTGCACGTCGCCGTGTTGATCATCCAAGGCCTTGAGCAGACCTCCTGCGAGTTTTGTTGCAGTACCACGGTCGTGGGAGAGGAATAAAGAATTTGGGTTGGTCAGGATTCCATATAGATCGTTCAAGGACATGTATCTCAAGTCGGCATCGGGGTCATCAAGCTTCGCTAGCAGGGCGAAAATTGTCTGCTGGGTAACCTGGCGGTCCGCCATATTGACGAAGCTATGACTGTTATCGGTAAATGGGGTTGAGAGAAAGTCCAGCCAAGTTGACGAGTGAAGCAGTGGATAGTGAAAGCAACCGGGGAGAGCTTGCGGTGGTAGCCTTTGATGGAACGCCGCAACGTGGGGGTGTTTCCGCCTAAGGTGTCATTGTTGTGGCCTGAGGCATGATTTGCAACTCAGTGACAACTTCTGAAAATGTCGACTTTGAACATAAAATATCGGCTGGATCTTCGAATATGACCCCTAAATAGTCATTTTATTAAGGAAGGTGACATTGAATACTTGGATTTCTCCAATTATCGGATCTGATAATCAGTCGAGATGCACGTGATGACGAACACCGTCCAAGCTCCAAGAATGGCCGTTCTATTGATACCCCGTGAACTATACCGAGGTAATAAAAGTTGTACCTTCAAGGTCCTCTACAAGTACCGGCTACCGTCTAAAACCACCAAAATCAACGTATTCGTCAAGTACCAAGTACCTGGCCCGGCCATGCCAATTACATCACGACGCACAGACCATCTCGGAAACAACTAGGATGCGGTCTTACGACACCGACAGGTCGACTTGCGAAAACCGGGAAGCTTTGGTGTTGTAGTGCTGACTTGGCGTTGTGCTCTTTGTGCTCTTTGTGCTCCAATCTACTCCGTACTTTGTACCTAAACAATCCATTTTCAACCTATCACACTTTCCACGTTCTCTATCAATTCTACTCTATTCGTACCCAGGTTGCTACTACACAATGGTCTTTGCGCGCCGTTCAATCTTCCGCGCTGCGACTGCAGCTCAGTCCTTCCGTGTCGGCTCTGTTAGTCGCCGGTCTGCCCAGCTCCTTGGTCGACGATTCAAGTATACTAGCAACAGCTATGAGCCAGGGCCTTCATCCAGTAACTTGCCTTGGTAAGTTATGTTCTTACTTCCGAGAAATCTTATTCGGTCTTCTAACTACTCCTGGTTGTAGGTTGGTGGCCTCTACTGCTGTGACTGTTCCAATGATCTATTACCTCTGGCCTTCTGGCTCGAAGGGACATCACGACACTCACGGGGACGAACATAAAGAGGAACAAACGGAGGATCACGGCGAGGTAGAGGAAGCTTCCGAGGAGAAACCTGCCGAAGGATCCTCTGAGGCGGCGCCCAAGAAGGAGGAAAAGACGAACGCCGAGGAGAAGGGTGAAGAGAAGGCGGATAAAAATGAAGAGCCCGAAGAAAAGAAGGAAGAACCCAAGGATGAGAAGAGCGAGTCCAAGGAGGAAGACAAGGAGAAGAACGAGTCCAAGGAGGAAGACAAGGAGGAGAAAAAGCCCGAGGAGGAGAAAAAGGAGGAGAAGCCCAATGATGATGACTCTAAGAAGGAAAATAAGGACGAAAAGAAAGACGAATCCAAGGAGGACGAGCCTAAGCAGGATGAGTCCGAGGATGCTGGAAAGGGCGAGAACAATGATGGCGAGGCAAAGAACTGAAGACGCCTTGCTCCCTTGAGCGGCTGTAGAACCAAGCCTGTGTATGATATTTCAACATGTTAATGTTCGATGTCTTTGTCCCATAGTATTCATGTACCTGTACCTCTACTATATATGAGATATGAATACCAGTCATGTTAGCGTGCTGAAGAACGATAGTTCATTGGTCTATTCTGCTAGTCCGGTCTAATCTTAGTAGTCAATAGTCGGCCGCTTATACGACCTCTATACTTGATGATATAGGGTTGGATGATCCCAATATAGTGTTTCAAGATGATATCATGAACATTATAATTGCAATTATATTACGATGCCTTTTTAATACATTTATGAACCAAAGAAAAAAATAGGGAAGCAAACCACCACGTGATACATAAAGCCCTTTCCCCTAGCAGTGTTTGACAATCGCTCACAGTATACTTAGGATCGTGATATCACATCTTGATTCTTAAATAAACTAATTTAATCTAAATAATCAAAGAGTTGGGGCTGGTGGCAGGTCACATTGGTCTTGCACTAACATTCTCGGATCACACACTTTCACCACCGTTGCCATGCCCAGAAGCTGGTCTAACTATTCTAGGGGTTGTAAAAGGCGGCTAGGTTTATCTCTTAATTTAACAACGTTAGGTTGAACCGAGACTTTGATATCTAAACCTGGTTAGGCATTGCAATATCATATCTATACCCACAACAGCGTTTAGACCACACACTTTGCTTATATAGTTCTTGTAGAGACGATACTTTTCTAAATTTACTAGTATTTTGTAGGTTCACCTAGACGTTACTCAGGCGTTACCTAGACGTTACTCAGGCGTTACCTAGACGTTATCTAGACATTACCTAGGCGTCTTAAGGCGTTACTAAGGCGTTAGCCGCGTTACTTAGAAGTTACTTAGAAGTTACTTAGACGTTACTTAGACGTTACTTAGACGTTACTAGGTAAGAGAAATAAAAGTATTTTGTCAAAAAATCTGCATGAAAGACTTTTAGTTGGGCCGTGGTAGCCATGAGTGTACCACCTAGCTTCAGGACACCTTAGCAAGGGCCGGGCATTCAATAAAACCCACGGCGTTCAAAGACATGCCTCAATGGGAGTCCATCGGGCCCTCGCATAACATCCACCCAGCTCAAATCCTCCTTTCCTTCCTCCCGAGTCTCATCAATGAGATCCCAAATGTCCTGGACAGCAGTCCACTGTGCCGTGACATTTGGAAGGTCATATTGCTGCAACGAACGCCACAAGGACGCCCACAACTGGCGGTCCTTGCTGTTGCAGGCTCCCACAAAAGCAGGGAAGGTGACGGGTGGATCTCTGTGCATCACCTCGGGTGCCATCAGTGCCTTGAGCTCTTCGGCATGGAGCAGACACATCAAGATGGCATCCAGAGGGATGGAAGTGTCGTCCATGAAGATGTGGTTGATTCGATTGTGGAAGTAAAGGCACGCCGAGAGATACCAAGCCACTTCGAGGTTGTTGGAGATTATTTGTTGTACCTCCATGCCGGGAACAAGGAAAATTGGGATGTTATCATCAGGTCGAAAGGTTTGTAGATGGGAAGTCAAACAATTTATGTCTTCAATGAGGTGCTCTGGTAGGATATGACTGTCCGTATTATGTTCTCCGATTATTTCTGCCAAATCTTCGATTTCTTTGATGGCAAGTTCGGTAAAGCGTGTGATGCCGTCTAGCACGCCGAATGGTAAGCGGAGTGGCATGGTGACTACTTGGAGTAGTGATCACAGGATAAAAAAGGTGAAAATGGTGGATTGGATTGTATGTCAAATGTGATAGGCAGTTGGTCATAAATGTGGTGCTCAGCAAAGAAGGGAAGATGAGAGTCGACGAGGAAGGGAAGGATATTTGGAGAAATGTTCTGATATAAACACAAATTGTAGCTACTATTCGTATATTTACAAGACGCTTATGGCATTGATGCCTAGACGATGCGATATGACCGACGACGATGCGATGTGATTGACAAGGCAATATTACCTTCGTATATGCAG